CACCATGCCTGCGAAATAGTTCCAAACAGTTTTGCTCTCTTTGCAGTTGAGGAGGCAGTGATCCAAGTCTTCTTCAGAGTTAAAGCAAAAACTGCAGCGACTAGGAAGTGCAAGGTGGAATCTTCGAAGGTTTGTAGGGAAAGGAAGGCAGTTATTGAAGATCTTCCATTGGAAAAAACGAAGCTTTGGGATTTGCGCTTTGTGCCAGATAAATTTGGTTGAGAGAAGTGCAGGTAGATGATCCTCAGTGGCTCTATACGCTTGCTTGAGAGAGAACTGACCGTTATTCCAGAGGGCCTGCCCGTTGTTCCTTTGTGTGTGAGAAATGCCCAGAGAGTGAATTCTACATATTCGTTTCCATGTTGGGGAATCTGGGAGACGTTCTTTGATGCAGCCATCCTTCATGTATTTTGCTCGAACCAGTATAGCCCAAGGACTTTGATCATGCTGAGCTTTCCACCAGATTTTGAGAGAGTATGCTGTTTCAATTTGTAAGAGGCTCCTAATCCCGAGGCCCCCAACATTCTTGTTTTAGCCCTGCCATTCCTTTGGCCCCAAAGGAAATTAGCCATAAGGGAATTGAGAGTTTTGATGATGGATTTTGGGAGGGAATGGACGGCAATAAGGTGGAGTGGGTCGGAGGAGAGGACATGTTTAATGAGAATAAGTCTTCCCATTTGACTGAGGGTTCTGCTATAGAGGAGAGATGTTTGTATACATGGTCCAAGAGAGAATCACAGTCTTCTTTTTTGAGAATACCTCTACGTAAGGTGGCTCCCAAGTAGGTAAAGGGGAGGCTTCCACACTTCATGGACAGGGCTTTTTCCATCTTGAGTTGTTGATCCGCAGTGGTGGATTTTGGAGTGTAGAATCTGTTTTTTGAAAAGTTTATCTGCTGCCCTGAAGCCTGCATAAAAACTTTAAGAATTTGGTTAAGTTTAAGAAGGTTGAGGATGTCCCCTTTTGTAAAGATCATCAAGTCATCTGCGTAAATGAGATGGCTGGGCATCCTAACACTTCCCAAGTTGAAACGCTTGATAGTGTTGCTCTCCATGGAGTGGTTTAGGTATCTGGAGAAAGCTTCAAACCCTAGAATGAAAAGAAGTGGAGAGAGGGGATCGCCCTGTTTAACTCCTCTGGTCATGGGGAAGAAACCGTGAGGTTCACCATTGATGAGGACAGAAATGAAGGAGCTCCGGAGGTTTGCCATTAACATATTGCTGGCAACTTGAGAGAAACCAAACTTTCCAAGAGTGCCCTCAAGAAAGCTCCAGTTCATGTAGTCAAAAGCTTTTGCCATGTCTATTTTGATGAGAAGGTTACCCCCAAAAACCTTTCTGTCTAGTCCATGTATGGCTTCTTGAGCAAGGAGAATATGGTCATCAATGGACTTACCTTTCTGGAAAGCTCCTTGTTCTGGTGAGATGAGTTTGGGAAGCAACATTTTAAGTCTGTTGGCAAGGAGTTTAGTATTAATTTTGCTGAGAAAAGTTGAGAGGGAGATGGGCCTAAAATCATCAACCCGTTTTGGATCTTCTTTCTTGGGAATCAAGGTGATGAGGGTACTGCCATATCCTTTTGGAATTGGGAGGCCCAGAAAAAATTCTTGAGAGGCAGTGAGAACATCCTGTTGGATTATATCCCAACAAGCCCTAAAAAAATTACCATTAAAGCCATCCGGGCCACTTGCGCTGTCAGGATCCAGGTCCCAAACGTTACTTTTACCTCAGCCAAATCTGGGAGCTTAGTGAGAAATAGGTTGTCTTCATTGGAGATGAGAGGAGGGATAAAGGGCAGAATATTGCCCAAATCAGGAATGGAAGTTGCTGGAGCTTGGAATTGGTTCTGAAAGTGTCTGATAGCTTCTTGTTTGATGTCATCCATGTTATTGAGTCCCTTGCCATTCCCATCAATGATGTGAGAAATTTGAAGCTTCTTTCTTTTTCCCTTTGCAAA